TCCCTACAAACTCTCCTACAGCATTACCTGTAAGAATCTTCTGACTACCTACAGACATTGTAGGAACTACAGTCTAAGACAACTGCAATATAGGATGAAGCCTTCAAATTCTATTTCATGGGTTCTCCCTCCGCCATTATTTGATATTTTCAAATCTAAGTTGAACATGATTTTCAGCCAACTTTCAACTTGAGGGAAAGTGTTATAAGTTATAATAAGAAATAATTTATTCCTGCGAGAAGTTTTGAGGAATAAATAATTTTGCTAGATTATGAGTCTTTTCCATTCCTATTTTATATCGATTTCCTTGGACTAGTAATTATTTTCTTTTCAAATTTAGGTTTTCCTATTTTATGTTATTTTTTTTTTATTTCCTAATAATTAATATGAATTTATTATTGGAGATATTATGTGATCTATTTTTCCTTTCATATCATTTCTTGTTTGTTATATTTCCTTTTCTAAAATTCATGTAAGGGCTATTCATATCCCCCTCTCATATTAATGAAAATCCCGCTCCGCATATTTTTGAATTTAAACATGAAGAAATAATCGCTCTATGATTGACTAGATACATTAAAAAAACAATATGTAGAGTAAATGCATAAATACTATAATTATTATCCATCCAAGTAGATAGGGAAAAGAAAAGATTGAAGTAAACAATTATAATGATGAGATCAACTAACAATTCACTACACTCTTACTCATGTTGAACCTTACAAACTTGGAAAGCATAAAAGAATGCAGGTGAAGCCGCATGAGGAAAAAAAACACTAAGAAATTATAAGGCGCGCCTTTTGGGCTGCTTAGAAACAATTAAAATTTAATTCAAGTGGGATTAATAAATCTTGTAAATCTAGGTTTAGTAAATCTTAGAGGCGTCAAATTCTTAAAAACCGTTGGGCATGATAAATAAAAGAGTCTAGTAAACTATTTGGAAAATATTTCAAAGGTTTAGGTTATAAATGAAGGGGAAGAAGAGGCATTTCAGGAAATAGGATATCTTAACCCCAACTTCCCAAGAAATTACTAAATCAAGAATTAGGCCCAAAACGGGAGTAAAATGTGTTTATGAAAATAGGTTTTAGCCTACATCCGAGATAAAAGTTGCAATCAAACAGCCCCTTAATAAATGAAGTCATGGCAACTGAAAACAATTGATCATGGTAATTTGGAGAGAAAATATAAATAAATGAGAAATTAAAAAAAAGCTAATCCTTACAGATTCAACAAGCTGGAAAGTACACATCTAAACCGAGTAAATGATACACATAAGATCATTATGCTGCTTAAAAGACGATAATAAATATTCAGAAGATCAGTCATAAAATATAATTCAAAACTTCAGAGATCAGACTTCAAAAAGAAAATAAATAAATAAATAAATGATCCACAGAGATCCATGGGAACGAAAGGCACGCACAAATGCCTAATCACTGTTTCAAAATTACCGTCAAATACATATACACCCCTAAGAAAAAAAAACGATCGCACAGAAAGAACTAGAAGCTATTACTTTAGATATCGCCTCTCCTTTTCACTTCACCATTTGAAAATGAAAATTAAGATCAAGTTGTTATTCATAGCAGGAATTACTCCGGCTTCCTGGTTTCCAGCAGTCCGACTTCTCTGATTTCCTGCAAGTGTCAATATTTTCATCAGTCCAGCATCCTAATTTTCAGCAATCCCGTTTCCCTGATTTTCTGCAAATCCTTACCGTTGGAAGTGCAGCTGCCCCACCACCTTCCCACTATTTTTTTGCGTCTGTTCGGCTTCCTGGTTTCCAGCAGTCCGATTTCCCTGATTTACTGTAGTTATCCATATTTACAGCAGTCCGACTTCCCTCATTTTCTGCAGCCTTACAACAGCAGTCCTCTCTTACCACTGCTCTGCATCCCAGCTGACGTTAGACTTCTCTAAAGTGATCCCCTCAAGATTGACCAGTCTACTCTCACTAGCAAATCTCTTCCTGTAACTAAGAAACATGGCAATGAGGTCTTCTCTGGTTTTACCAGCAAAGCTGGAGGCGGTTGTCATTTCCACTGGCGTCCATACATTCTTTGGCGAGGTTGTCCACCTTGTTGATTGCACCAACCAAGTTGGCCACTTCCAACAAGTTCTCACCACCATTGGGAACTTCTGCATTTGCCCCATCGCCATTGGCATGCTTATAGAGATTATAGTCATGCATCCTATCTAGCATCACAAGTACAAGAATGGGATTGACAGCCTGCTCGTCCTCGTGATTGCAGGCATCCCAATCGCCATGCCCACTGCCTTGTCAGTCAATGTGGCTATTAAATCTCATCGGTTATCACAGCAAGGTGCAATTACAGAAAGGATGACTATCATGGTTTGGATGCTTGTAGATCTTGAAAAGGACATTGGCACCGTTCCAGGAAAGGTGCTCCTGAGCAGATACTTAGCATATCAAATGCCAGGGAGGATGTCCTAAGGTTCATAAATTTGTTGAACATGGACTTCGATCTCTTGTTGCTGCCATCACGAATGTTTCTCCCCCAGAATCTTTCCTGCATTAGGTCCTTCTCCGGACTTTTTTTCTACAGCAAACCCTCCTCTAGAATCTATCTTGCAGCAGTTCCTACAACAGGTCTGCTACCATAGCTTTTACTTTTTTTTTCTATAGATCATATTCTACAGCTTTTTCTGAAAATTGTTTAATTCCCTACAAACTCTCCTGCAGCATTACCTGTAAGAGTCTTCTGCCTACCTACAGACATTACAGGACCTACAGTCCAAGACAACTGCAATATGTGATGAAGCCTTCAGGTTCTATTTCATGGGATCTCCCTCGCCCATTATTTGATATTTTCAAATATAAGTTGAACGTGATTTTCAACTAACTTTCAACTTGAGGGAGAGTGTTACAAGTTATAATGAGAAATAATTTATTCCTGCAAGAAGTTTTAAGGAATAAATAATTTCGTTAGATTATGAGAGTTTTCCATTCCTATTTTATATTGATTTCGTTGGACTAGTAATTATTTTCTTTCCAATTTTAGATTTTCCAGTTTTATGTTATTTTCTTTATTTCATAATAATTAATATGAATTTATTATTAGTGATATTAAGTGATCTATTTTTCATTTCATATCATTTCCTGTTTGTTATATTTCTTATTCTAAAATTCATGTAAGGGCTATTCATATCCCCCTCTCATTTTAATGAAAATCCCGCTCCGCATTTTTTTGAATTTAAACATGAAGTAATAATCGCTCTATGATTGACTAGATACATTAAAAAAACAATATGTAGAGTAAATGCATAAATACTATAATTATTATCCATCCAAGTAGATAGGGAAAAGAAAAGATTGAAGTAAACAATTATAATGATGAGATCAACTAACAATTCACTACACTCTTACTCATGTTGAACCTTACAAACTTGGAAAGCATAAAAGAATGCAGGTGAAGCCGCATGAGGAAAAAAAAAACTAAGAAATTATAAGGGGCATCTTTTGGGCTGCTTAGAAACAATTAAGATTTAATTCAAGTAGGATTAATAAATCTTGTAAATCTAGATTTAGTAAATCTTTAAAACCGTTGGGCATGATAAATAAAAGAGTCTAGTAAACTATTTGAAAAATATTTCAAAGGTTTGGGTGAAGAAGAGGCATTTCAGGAAATAGGATATAAGTATCTTAACCCCTACTTCCCAAGAAATTACTAAATCAAGAATTAGGCCCAAAACGGGAGTAAAATGTGTTTATGAAAATAGGTTTTAGCCTACATCCGAGATAAAAGTTGCAATCAAACAGCCCCTTAATAAATGAAGTCATGACAACTGAAAACAATTGATCACGGTAATTTGGAGAGAAAATATGCATAAATGAGAAATTAAAAAAAATCTAATCCTTACGGATTCAACAAGCTGGAAAGTACACATCTGAACAGAGTAAATGATACACATAAGATCATTATGCTGCTTAAAAGACGATAATAAATATTCAGAAGATCAGTCATAAAATATAATTCAAAACTTCAGAGATCAGACTTCAAAAAGAAAATAAATAAATAAATAAATGATCCACAGAGATCCATGGGAACGAAAGGCACGCACAAATGCCTAATCACTGTTTCAAAATTACCGTCAAATACAGATACACCCCTAAGAAAAAAAAACGATCGCACAGAAAGAACTAGAAGCTATTACTTTAGATCTCGCCTCTCCTTTTCACTTCACCATTTGAAAATGAAAATTAAAAAAAGAAGAGCCTAGATCTCCGATTCTACTGCTAGAAATCCCTTTAAAATAAAAATTTGAGCTAAAGATCCATTGATCTATTGAACGCAGAGCATTTGCTTGAAAAAGAAAACTTCTATGTGAATCCATCTATAAATCTCAAAATCAAAAGGATTGCACATAGTCTCACAGATGATGCGCATTTCAGAACAATTTCAAAATCCAATAATCTGCGAAGTAAGGAAAAAAGAGAAAAGCGATGAAGCACAAACCTTCAAGATGATCTTGGATCCCTCGCCGATTGAGATACAGAAAATGCTACCCTTTTATGCCTACCTTTCTTCCTCTTCCTTAGCTCAACACCAAACGGAATTATATAAGAGAAGGGTTGGAGAAGGAGGATTGGAACTTTCCTCCGACTGTCGATGGTTCAACTCTTGCCCTCTCTCCCTTTCTCCCGTTCATAAGAACGATGGTTGAATTTCCGGTCGGGGGTAGGTGGGCGGTGAACCCGAAGCCTGATACGAGCTGGCTCAGACCTAGTCGGCTCTCCTAGGAATCCAAATTAGGAAAAATTATTAGGATAATTACATACAGAGCATAAAAATATATTAATTTTTACAAATTAAGTATTTGCGTATTTTTTGAACTTAAAAATATATTAATTTTTACAAATTAAGTATTTGCATATTTTTTGAACTGTAATAATATATATATATATATATATTGATACTCTCCTTGAATCAACAGGCTGGGCAATGTGCTCTCAAAATAGTGAAGATAACAAAAGTGCTAATCAAGCTCTAATTACAGTGTCAAAGGCTGGAAATCCAGGGAGTTTGGTTATTAAAGTACTTAATTGTCATAAATGTGTCAGCATGACTCTCGGGAAATCTTAATGATATAAATAATAAAAAATGGTCAACGATGGCCCACCAAAAAGGAGATCAAGAACCACATTAGCATAAGACCAATGGGTTTAGTTAACCAACTAAAACTCCTTTGGAGAAAGACTCGGAGATGACCGAACAAATGCCACCAAAGTCAAAGAACAAGACTCACCTAACCAAGGGGATGAATCAATTCAACTCTCGTCCAAATATTTCTAGTTGTCGAACACAGGTTTCTAAGACTCTTCAGAAGGCCTAAGGTTCTCATCAGCAAATATCTTTCAAACCCTCAAAATGGATTTGTTTGCCAACACAATAGACTATCTATCAGATTACAGTGATTCATTATTTATCTCATTAGTTTCTTCCAAGCAGCACGAGCTTCTAATTCAGGAGTCAACAATCAGCAGTCAATCGGTTGACTGAAGCTGATCGAGCGAAGTTCAAATGATTGAATGACCACCAGAGCTGACTGACAGCCCCAACTTAACAAAGTTGATCGAACGGGCCTTAGCGACCCGAGGATTACTGATATCAACCAGCTGAGTGATAGGGTAGCCAAGTCATAGCCTCGCTTTTTTTTTATACCTGAAATGTCTTTTAATGATCCCATAAAAGCATGGGTAATATGTAATTTCATTTTATACCTCCTTTGTCTATTAATATAAGGGTCATTTTTACAGTAGAGGGTTAATTAGTCATTATTTAATGTGTCGGCTCTTAATTGTGCACACACACACACACTCTCTCTCTCTCTC